CCCTTTTGACTTTTAAAATATTTAAACCAAAAGTTTAAATAAAAGGTAAGTGCAACTAATTTTTTTTTTCATCCTGGGGGGGTGGAAACCCAAATTTTTTGTATCAAGAAAAAATTCCCCCAATTTTTAAGGAAATCCCCCATGAAGGAAAAAATTTAAAATACCCAAAAGGCAAAAATTTTTTTTTTTCCCGTTTTCCCTTTCGGCTAACCCAGGGCATTTTCTTTATGTTCCCGCTTTTTTTTTAAATAAAAGAACTATTTTAGGTTACAGAACCTACCAAAATTGTTAAGCCATTAAAAAAAAAAAACGCGTTGCGTCTTGCAAACCGGGCCCTGGCTTCGAAATCACGGAAAAGTGAATCTGCCCCGTATTACAGAGTTTTGAAAATTTAGGGGGAAGTGTATCGTTCCCCGCTACTACTACCTAGTATCACAAGGTACAGTCACCACCACTACTTTCATACTTGTTAATCTAAACCCTAGCCTTAGAGAAGGCCCAAAATTGCCCTTTTAAAAAGAGCACAACCCAAAAATCTGCATTTTGCCATGACACGAGTTAACCCAAATACAAAAACTTTCGTATATTTAAAACCAGTCTTCCCTTCAAAACTCTTTCGTTTAAAAAATTTTGGGTCTTTTTACGTTTTGTCTTTCCCCCCCCCTTTGGGTTTGACCCTGGTGATTTTAAAAGGTCTGCTCTGGGTTGACTTATGTTCTATTTTCTATTTTGCTTTTTTTAAACCCATACTTGTTCATTTTTATTTTTTCCCCTCTCCCAGTAATTCGAGGGGGGAAAAAAAACTCCCCCACCCCAGTGCATCAGTTTCAACCTGCCCCTCACCCCCCCTACCAACCCGTTACATTTATCTTTATATCCACCCCCCCTTTTCATTTCTTCCTAAAATAAATTTTTTAGTAGTTTCCCCACACCCCTGCAGCACCTGGGCATTTATTAATAAAAGTTATTGTGGGTTTAGGAGACGTTTCTGCCTGGTCCACAGACCCGGGCCGCGGGGGGGCCCCTTGAAACCCCCGAAAAAAATCTCCAGGTATCTCCCAAAAGGGCACAGCCCGGGGGAAAAAAGTTTTGGGGGAAAAAAAATCCTGTTAAGGAAAATTGGGGGTTGGGGGTTTAAAAGAATTTCCTACATCCAACAGAACCCTTCCCCCTAACCCCAACCCCGAACCCCCCCATCGAAAACCCCCAATGGGTTTCCTGGGTTTACCTCAAGACAAGGGAACCCCCGGGGCCCGGGGCCATACGGGAAAACCCCAAACCCCCCCCCCCCAACGTCGAAACCCTATCCTCCCCTTTGGCCCTGACTGCCCAAACCCTTCCTTCCCCCTTTCCCCCTACTAATATCGTCAAAAAACCCCCCCACATCTCTTCGTTTTTTTCTTCCTTTTAAAAAAACATTATCCCCCTTTGAGAATGAAAAAAACCGTACAGATTTTTAAATTTTTTCCTTTTGCATGGTAAAAAAACCCCTCTTGAGATAATTCTCAAGTAAAAAAACTCCAGCCTTTTGAAAGGAAACCCCTGAAGCTGTTTTTAACTAATTAAAACCCTTTTCATAAACCCATTAATAAACCCACAAAATAGTTTGTCACGATGTTTTTTTTGAATTGGGTTTTATTTTCAAGTCATAAATTATATTGTTCCTGTCACGGTTTCTGGGGGGGTAAAGTTGTCAGGAAACTTTCCCAATTTTTTCCCGACGCGGGTCTTGAGTCTTTTGATGGGCCCCTTGCCCGGGGCTTTCAGGGCATCTGACCGGGCCCTTTCCCCTGGCTTACCTCCCACCCCTTTAAAAATATTTTGGGTTTTAAAAAATGTAAACACGTTTTCTGCCTTTAAAGATCTTGATGTCTAACTCCCCCCCTGAAGTCTCCCCCGCTCCCGGTGGGAAAATTTCAAACACTATGGGACCCCATACCAAATTTGGGGGATGTTCTGGGGGTTAAACGCCCCCCCGGCCCCGGTTTCCCTAGCCAGGCCCGCGGTGGACAGGACCTGGGTCAAAACCCGGTTGTTACTGCTGACCCCCCACGTAAAACCCACGTACGAACCCCCAGCCCGGTTTGGGAGGAATTGACTGAAACCCATCCGCCCCCCCCTTTAAGACGGCTAGGAGTTGTTGGTTAAACCCCCCTTTTGCATGATTGGGGGGGGGGCTGTTGAAAAGTCTTGGGAGGGGAAAAAAGGGGAAAAAGGGAAAATGAAAGGAAAGAAGGGAGGAAAAACACGCAGGGGAGGGGGGGGGGGAGGGGGAAAAGGGAGGGGGGGAGAGGGGAGAGGGGAGAAAGGGAAAGGGGGGGGAGAGGGAGGGGAGGGGAGGGGGAGAGAGGGAGGGGGGCAGAGGGAGGGGAGAGAGGGGAGAGAGGGGGGCGAAGAGGGAGGGAGAGGGAGGGAGAGGAAAAGAGGGGGAGGGGAGGGAGGGGAGAGGGGGAAGGGGAAAAGAGGGGAAAAAGGGGGGGGGAGAAAGGGGGGGGGGAGAGGGGGAGGGAGAGGGGGAGGGGAGGGGGGAGGGGAGGGGGGAGGGGGGGGGAGAGGGGGGGAGAGGGGGGAGGGGGGAGAGGGGGAAAAGAGGGGGGAGGGGAGAGGGGGGAGAGAAGGGGGAGAGGGGGGGAGAAGGGGGGAGAAAAGGGGGGAGAGGGGGGGGAAAAGGGGGGGAGAGGGGGGAGAGGGGGGAGAGAAAGGGGGGGAGGGGAGGGGGGAGAGGGGGGAAGGGGGGGGGGGGAGAGGGGGGGGGAGAGGGGGGAGAAGGGGGGGGGGGAGGGGGGCGGGAGGGGGGGAGGGGGGGGGAGAGGGGGAGAGGGGGGGGAAAGGGGGGAGGGGGGGGGGGGAGAGAGAGGGGGGGGGAGAGGGGGAGAGGGGGAGAGAGGGGGGGAGAGGGGGGAGAGGGGGGAGGGGTGAGGGGGGAGAGAGGGGGGAGGGGGGGGTGAAGAGGGGGGGGAGAGAGGGGGGAGGGGGGGAGAGAGGGGGGGGAGGGGGGGGGAAGGGGGGGGAGAGGGGGGGAAAGGGGGGGGGGAGGAGAGAAGGGGGGGGGGGGGGGAAAAGGGGGGGAGAGGGGGGGGGAGAGGGGGGGAGAGAGGGGGGGGAAAAGGGGGGAGGGGGGGGGGAAAATGGGGGGGGGAGGGGGAAAAGGGGAGGGAGGGGGGGGGAGAGAGAGGGGGGGGGGGAAGAGAGAGGGGGGAGAGAGGGGGGGGGAGAGGGGGGGGGGGAGAGGGGGGGAGAGGGGGAGAGATAGCGGGGGAGGAGGGGGGGGGTTTGGGGGGGGGGAAAAGGGAGGGGGGAAGGGGGGGGGAAAAGGAAGGGGGGGTTTTGGGGGTGGTAGGGGAAGGGGGGGGGCTTTTGGGGAGAGGGAAAAGGGGGGTTGGGGGTTTAGAGGACCTGAAATTTTTGGTTGTGGTAAAAAGGGGGTTTTTTTTAAAAAAGGAAGGGGGTTTAAACTTCCCGAAAACCAAACCCGAAAGTTTATTTGGACCTGGGCCCAAAAAAGGGTTTTCTTGTCCTTTTTAAAAACTTTAAAATTTCCGCCAAAATCAATTTAAAAAAATTTTACGAAAACAAAGGGGGAAAAAAGGGAAAAAGGGGTTTAAAAGGCCCAAAAAAAGGAACGGGTTAAAAAAAAGGATTTTTAAAAAGGGGAAAACCCTTTTGGGGCTCTGGCAATTTTAAAATTTTTTTTGGGCCACAAACTAAAAAATTCACAACTTCCGGAAAAAAGAAGGAAAAAGGCGGGGAAAAGGGAAAGGTTTGGGTAAAGTAATTTTAACCCCCTTAAACCGGTTAAAGGGGGTTTTTAAATTTTTTGGATTAAATAACCCTAAAAGTTGGGGCCTCAAGTGGTTTTTAAACGTGGTCTAAAAAAATTTGCTGAAAAAACCCCTTTTGCCCTTTCCCCGGCCCACAAAAATAGACCCTTTAACTTTTAAAGCCCTTTTTTAATTCCCTGAATAAAGGAAGGAAGTTTTTTCCCAAGGTGGGGGGAAAAGTTTTAAAATTATAAGGTTTAAACGGGGGGGGCCCCAAAATTCCAGGGGGGACCCCAAAAGCCTTTTACAATTTTTTCCTTTTTTTAAAGGGGCCCTCTTTAAACCCCCCCAAAGGGGGAAAGGTAAAATAACTCGTACGGTCTCGGCGGAAAAAAAATAAAAACACAAAATTTTTGCAAAAAAAACCCTTTAGACCCGGCAGGGTTGGGGGCCCCCGGGTCGCCCCCCCCCTTCCCCCCAAAAGCCCCCCCCCCCCCGACCCTTTTTACCCCCTGCCAACGCCCTTAAATTTTTTTAAAAAACCCCCCCTTTTTATATTAAACCTTAAAAAAATAACCCTTTAGGCAACATCTGGCAACTTCATATATATTATAGTCCATCAAATCATATAAAAAAATATACACGAACAATTCGGATTAAGTGGAAATGGAAGGGAAATGGTGGTTAAGAGTGAATACTAACGATTAACCGGCTTTATAGGGCTTAAATAAAGGATATAAATGGAGAGCATGGCAGCCGTGGGCTGCACGTGGTGTATCAGCTGGCTGGAAAGTCGTGCCAAGACTTATGCCTTGCGTCGACACACTAAAATTAGACGGTTTCACTATACTGTCCTGTCTAATCACCACTGAGGTAATGAGACGGAGCAGTTGACCCAGGCTGAGAACAGTCTTACAGTATATTATACGCACCCAACTTCACCTGATTACACAAGCCTTTTAATTTTTAAACCATTACAGGCATACTCACCCATCCAAAAGGTAAGGCCATACATAAATACGTATGAATCGTCGAAGATACAATAAACACAAATATTTAAGCATGAAATAAACCTCTTTAGTACCCGGCCGGTGACCGGCTCGCACCACTCTAGAATAGCCCCCTCCCCCCCCTACTACACTGCCAACGCCCAATATTATTTTATATATCACTGAATAAAGGCATAGGAAGGTTTTCACTGACGTGGGAGATGCCTTTTAACACTTATAAGGAACCCACCTGCATAAACTGTGGCTGTGAGGGAGCCCAGACGTAATCCAGGGAGACGGCAGAACACGCCTGTGACGACGAGGTTTGACTTGCTTTAGTAGCGGTACTGGGAGCCATCGGTTCAACGCACAAGAGGGGGGTAGATAGTAGATGGATATACTCCTTGTACGGTCAATACAGGAACGGAAAAAAAACTATAAGACACAGACTAAAACATGCACACACACACACACACTGTGGACGAGCGCTGGCTGGCAGGCGACTGAGGTAGCTCCCCCGATGCTGCTGCCCCTACCCCCTCCCCCAGCAACCAAAGTCCCTCCTCAAAAACCCTTCTATCTCAAGCTTTATCCCTTCTCATCCTCTCTATCTAGCACGCTATCGCTGCGTCTAAATTACTTTAGGTATAACTTAACATCTGTTTATATCATAAGACTCTTAAATAAATGAAAGAATGAAAAATAGATGGACACAGTGCAGGTTATTGGCACCTCAAGCACTTGTCTTGACACCTCCAGATGATTTAGTCATCGAAATATTCCCTTAACGACCTATAACTCGTTAGTCTGGCCCAGGAATGTTGTTACATTGTCTGTGGCATGAGTTAAATATAACATGTGCTTGATCAATCATGTTGTATGTGTTGACTGTAGGTTAATTTGTCAGATTTTAAGCCTAATGATTGAAATCGAGTCATTAAGGCTGCAATTTGATAGTAAGATAGAATTAAGAATCCTTTAATCCTTAACCTTGATGTATGCAACAGTAAGGCATAAATGCTAAGTAGTAAGAAGTCAGTAAATGCAGGGAAGCATTTCTATATCAAGAGTGTATACATAGATAACCCGCACATGACGACGTTTCGATCCGACTTTGACCATTTATAAGTGACACTAACTACTACTACATCACTACTACTACTACTACTTCTACAAGTATTGCCTCGCTTCACTTAACTTCCTGTCTACTACTAACTACTTACTACTACCACCACTACTACTACTACTACTACTAGTACTTCCACTACTACTACTTCCACTACCAGCATTACCTTTACCACTACTTCTCCACTTCTTTATTTCCCTCTTTGTCCCGTCCCTGTCTCCCTCTCCTGTATATACTGGCTCCCTCACCTTCGTGTGCCAGTGTGACTGTAAATGGTTGAAGTCGGACCAAAGCATCGTGGTAAGCTCCTCTCTACTATGTACGGGTTATTTGTATATTGATCCAGTCACGGTATTGTGCCTTTTTGTTTTTTAACGGTATCAAGGAAGAATAAAACACTTGTGCCACACTGGGGGTTTATATTTTATCATTTCTATTTTCTAAACTATTTATTCAGTCTCAAGGGAGGTTTCTTGACCCTGGTGAGGGACGCTTAACGTAAGAACCAAATCAATGGTACACAATACCGACAAGTTGATAAATTAGACACATGTGTAACACTTTAGTATCTATATCCTGGAAACCTTACGTCAGCCAGTAGCTTCTTCAGTCCAATACAGAGAAGAACGGTGGAAGATGAGTTTGAGGTAATCAGTCCCTAAACCTGTAATTAATGTATTCAGTTCATCAGTCTTGAAAAAAGTACATCATATGCGCGAAGTGGCTTATATACTGCAGACAAGTAAGGCGAATCAGAGGAGAGACAGTTACGGTATAACTAGAAAGAAGAGAGCTACAGTATAGCTACGAAGAAGAGAGTTACAGTATAGATAGGAAAGAGAGACGGTTACAGTATAGCTAAGACAGGCCAACGGTCACCAAGGTTACAGAGTAAATAATGTATTATTCCATTTAGAGAGTTGCTTGGCATTCACCGGAGCGTCCGGGGCTTCTACAGAATATTTATCAGTTTCATAACAACAATGACAGCAGCGATGTTCAAAAAAAAAAAAAAAAAGGGTTACCCCTTTCTATAGTACTAAGAGATTTCTAAAGACTAAAATGCCCCGAGCATCAACAATGGGAGTTGCTGTGTATTTAATACAGTCAAGACAATTCTGATATCAATAAAAAAAAATGAGTCAGAAATAACTATCCGTCTATCAGTATAAAGAATTTTGGCGGTCAAACATGCCGTTTTCTTTCAATATTTATTTGGTCGTGACTAAGTTATCAAATTGAATGATTGCTCTAGGCCTTTCGTGTTACAATCAACACATCATCAGGAGCTTGCAATGTTGCAGAAATCGCTCCCTCTGAACGTGTTTGCTATCATTCAACTCACCCTGTGATTATTTTGCATCATTATATATATATATATATATATATATATATATATTATATATTATATATTTTATATTATATATATATATATATATATATATATGTAAACCAAGACCTAGGCTGCGACAAAAACTATCTTTAATTACTGGATCTCCTTTATTGACGTTTCGGATACTTCTTCACCCATCATCAGAATCTAAAATATATTACGATAAAAGTAAGGCGTGATTTTATTTTTTTTTTACTGTCTGTATTATGAATTGAGTAATCCAGTTAGGATCATTTCATCTATATAATTTACAACAGACTTAAATTAAAATATCACCGTCTATAACCAGAGTTCAAATCTTCGTTAATAATAATGTTTATATTATATAAATTCACGTGTTTGTAAAGTTTGGTTGGTATGCAGATTGTAGAGTAAAAGGACACAAGTGCAACTAATGTGACATTTATTGTGGCAACGTTTCGCTCTCCAGGAGCTTTATCAAGCCATTACGGTATGCAGATTGTAGAGTAACAGTATACACAATGATCATTAATGCTGCCTCACATCCACCAGTCATGAATACCTTAATACCTAAAAAAGGGACTAAAGTATACTCTCAGTGTATATACAGTATATATACATCTTTCAGTGTATATACACTGAGAGATATACACCTCTGGGTGTATATACACTGAGAGATAAACACATCTCTCGGTGAATATCAAAATGGTATACAATACCGACAGGTTGGTAGGTAAGACACATTGGTAACAGTTAGGCAACTTTATTCCGAAACGTTTCGCCTACACAGTAGGCTTCTTCAGTCGAGTACAGAAAGTAGGCGGGAGCAGTAGAGATGTGAAGACGATGTAATCAGTCCATCACCCTTGACGTCGTAGATACACACTGAGAGACGTACACCTCTCATGGTATACACTGAGAGATATACACATCTCATGGTATACACACTGAGAGATATACACCTCTTATGGTATACACACTGAGAGATATACACATCTCATGGTATAAACACTGAGAGATATACACCTCTCATGGTATACACACTGAGAGACGTACACCTCTCATGGTATACACTGAGAGATATACACCTCTCATGGTATACACACTGAGAGATATACACATCTCATGGTATACACACTGAGAGATATACACCTCTCATGGTATACACACAGAGATATACACCTCTCATGGTATACACACTGAGAGACGTACACCTCTCATGGTATACACTGAGAGATATACACCTCTCATGGTATACACACGGAGAGATATACACCTCTCATGGTATACACACGGAGAGATATACACCTCTCATGGTATACACTGAGAGATATACACCTCTCATGGTATACACACGGAGAGATATACACCTCTCATGGTATACACACTGAGAGACGTACACCTCTCATGGTATACACTGAGAGATATACACATCTCATGGTATACACACTGAGAGATATACACCTCTCATGGTATACACACGGAGAGATATACACCTCTCATGGTATACACACTGAGAGATGTACACCTCTCATGGTATACACACTGAGAGATATACACCTCTCATGGTATACACACTGAGAGATATACACCTCTCATGGTATAACACTGAGAGATATACACTCTCATGGTATACCACTGAGAGATGTAGACCTCTCATGGTATACACATGAGAGATGTACACCTTTCATGGTATACACACTGAGGATATACACCTCTCATGGTATACACACTGAGAGATATACACCTCTCATGGTATACACACTGAGAGATATACACCTCTCATGGTATACACACTGAGAGATGTACACCTCTCATGGTATACACATGAGAGATGTACACTCTCATGGTATACACACTGAGAGATATACACCTCTCATGGTATACACACTGAGAGATATACACCTCTCATGGTATACACATGAGAGATATACACCTCTCATGGTATACACACTGAGAGATGTAGACCTCTCATGGTATACACACTGAGAGATGTACACCTCTCATGGTATACACACTGAGAGATATACACCTCTCATGGTATACACACTGAGAGATATACACCTCTCATGGTATACACACTGAGAGATATACACCTCTCATGGTATACACACTGAGAGATGTACACCTCTCATGGTATACACTGAGAGATGTACACCTTCATGGTATACACACTGAGAGATATACACCTCTCATGGTATACACACTGAGAGATATACACCTCTCATGGTATACACACGGAGAGATATACACCTCCCATGGTATACACACTGAGAGATATACACCTCTCATGGTATACACACTGAGAGATATACACTCTCATGGTATAACACATGAGAGATATACACCTCTCATGGTATACACACTGAGAGATATACACCTCTCATGGTATACACACTGAGAGATATACACCTCTCATGGTATACACACTGAGAGATATACACCTCTCATGGTATACACACTGAAAGATATTACACCTCCATGGTATACACACGGAGAGAGATATACACCTCTCATGGTATACACACTGAGAGATATACACCTCTCATGGTATACACACTGAGAGATATACACCTCTCATGGTATACACACTGAGAGATGTACACCTCCCATGGTATACACACTGAGAGATATACACCTCCCATGGTATACACACGGAGAGATATACACCTCCCATGGTATACACACTGAGAGATATACACCTCTCATGGTATACACACTGAGAGATATACACCTCTCATGGTGGTTTAGAAAGACACGTAAGCAAACACTATAACATATTTATTAGAAAACGTTTCGGTCCTGGGACCTTGATCACTTCTAACATACAGAGGTAGAAAGACATTATATATATAGGCGGAGAGTGAGATGTGACGCACGTGACCTGAGGAATGTCATAAGAACATAAGAATGGAGGAACACTGTAGAAGGCCTACTGGCCCATGCGAGGCAGGTCCTTATCAAAACAACCTCTGCCTATGATGAGGACCAGTAGACGATGAAATCATGTGACTCCTGTGTTGTTGGGTTGGTGC